GATTGATATCTTATAATGCTATTTTATTAAATTTATCTGTAGATAGCAAGTTAAGTAAAGAAACAATTCCTATGGGGGAGCCTGCTTGAAAAGATTATTAAACCGTAGTGGTTTTATTACAGTTTTATAATACATTAAATAAACTTAATAAAAATTCTTAATATTTTAAGGAATTATAAATAGTGTAATTTATTCTTAAAATAGGCTAATTTTTTTTTAATTGGAGAAAATAGAAACCGATAAGTGCATATTTTAAGAAAATTGTTAAATATCCAATCTTATTTTGACACATGTTAACTTTAGGTAGAAATTTCGAACGTAGGTTCTTTGATGCGTTCACCTGAATTGATTTGTATTCATATTAAAGTGATCGGCAGGAATTTTCGCGTTTAGCATGTACGTACAGTACGTACTGAACGTATAGTATTGTACGTGACACATCTCTCGTTGCGTGGTACGTACTAAACAAACGTAATTGAGGCATCGTCTGTTTGTATATTGCTAGCATTTTATTTAGCTTTTTAGAGTGCTCTCAAGCATCTCTCTCAGTGTAATTATCTATCTATAGAGATCGTGCACAAGTACTACGATTAATTGAAGTAAACCTTACGGCAATTTTGTCGAAAATTCACGTTGCGAAATGCGGATATTAAATTTTAGCCAATCAGCACAACTCTATGATAAAAAAAGATGGTCTCTGACCATCTTTTTTTTTCATCGCGATAATGAATTCGTTTGATCGAATAATTTATTTTCCACTAATTAAAAATTGAACTCAGACCTATTGATTTAGATGCTTGAGAGCACCCTTAATCGAATAATATATTTTAAAATTATTTAAAATAAAAAAAATTTATATACAACAAAAAAATACTATTATATTCGAAAATAAAAATATTTTATTGACCAACTTCGTTTATAACCTATGGTGAGATCCATTTAAGGACATCCAAAATCACTAAGAGTCTATAAACATGAAATTATGAATTTTGTTTTTACAGATTGAGTTTGTAACAAAGGGTGCTCTCAAGCATCATTCTCGATGTGATTAGCAATTGATCGCAATGGTATTCAGCAAAATTATATTTACATAAAATTTTTATTGAGAATTCGAATATGCAATTTTGACGTAATTGAAATTTTCTCAAGCATCTTCGATGTGATTAATAATGGTGCTCATTTATTAAAATCAATTTAAATAAACATTGCAGTCAATATTTGAGCGGTCTTCTATTATTCGTCAAAAATAAAAATAAAAAAAAATGAAAATAAAAAAGCGAAAAATAAAAATAATAAAAAATAAAAAAAAAAAAACAAAAACGACCGTTAAACAAGAAGCAAATGCTGCGGATTATCGAAAATATTTCAACTTCAGCAGTCCCTGTTGCTCCGTTTACTGACTTTACCAATTATTGTTCATAAAAACGTTTAATGCAAGAAGTAAAATAATAATTTGTTGTTGAATGTGATGATCCATGGCAATGTTACTTGTGTGGTCTCTTTGAAAACTCAATTGATTGTCGAATTTTCAAGACAGGGATAAAAAGTAAAAAGTTTGTTGATTTAAATGATACATTCATTTCAATATTTTTTATTAATAAAAATGTCATATTTACGTAATAAGCTTTATCAAATTATGCATATTCATCTTAATGATAAACACGCTTGACTAATTTAAAATATTTTCCGCTAAATAAATTTTATTTTCCGACACTTTTGACCCATTGATTAAGGCGCTTGAGAACACCCAAAATTTACAAACTTTATCGTTATAAATTTGGTTTTATTTTTGTTTATTTGTCATAATATGTCGCAAATAATCAGCATTCGGGGCAATTGATTTACACCAGCCAATCAGACGAATTTCTGTCCATGATTACATCCAAAAATTCCTGTTGGAATTCAACAGAATCATGGTTGGCTAAACCGAAATTAACAAATTTTGCCTAAGACCACTCAAAATTTTACTAATGAAGTCATGGCCCGTTCATTAAATAAAAATGCCCAGTTGATAATTTTACTATAGACGTAGTAGGCTAGTATTGCTTCGTGCAGGTCTAGCTGCCGTAAAAAAATGTATTTCGATAGAACAATCACAAATAAATTTGCCTGCAAAAAAGGTTTAATTGTAAATTAATATATAATTATAAACTTGGTATTGGTTCATAATTTATAACAAAGCAATATTGAACTGTTTTTTACATACCCGCTATGCGTCAAATTAGAATTGGTATAGATTAAAATCAAGTTGCGTTAGACTAAAATTTGAGATGCGTAGGGTTAGAATAATGAATCTGAGACGAGCTAGAATTAATAAAATTTTATATATTTACATCAACCAAAAGTCTTTTTGCAATTACATTTGTCGATATAGTTCTTATTATAGTTCTTGCACTTGTACATTGTTACCAAAGTACACTGGTATTTTTGCTTTAGCATTACTTCCCTGACGGATATCTTAATCAGTAACGAAAAGTAAAACTTTCTTAAATCTTTTGTAGTTTTGTTCAACCGGCGTTTTTTTTTTTAATGATGCCAGATGAACGTTTTGGCATAAAAAGCTTTGTAAACTTATTGATAATTATTTAATTCAGTACTATCGTATCGCTATTATTAAATTAATTATGCATATGTCAAACTGACGCATGAATGATGGACTGGTTTTGATGCATTTCAGTTGATCCAATGCAACTGAATCTGACGTATGACATATGTAAGAAACATGTTTATTTTAGCTTTATCTCATGAAATTACGATTAGTGTTTTCATTATTTTGCTTAATCTTTACATATTAATTAATGATTTCATTTTACGTCATAAAGTATCATATTAAAAATGATTACACCATTTTTAATAATAAAATGAAATCATATTCAAACTAGATGAGTGTGCAAATATTTAAAGGATGGAAGTTGCAAAAATATCAAAAAACAAATTCTTACCTTTGTAACTACTTTAAAAGCTCGATTATTCTTTGATCATTTATTTTCCCGAAAAACATAAAAATAACGGAAAGATGCTTCAATCTCAACATAACGCTATATCAGCCTTCGAATCAGGACTCGAAGGTCAATCTCCGAATATTCTAAATTCTTTGAAACGTGATCACGATTTATTAAAATCTCTTTACCAAGAATATAATAACGCAAAATCTACCGAGGATCAAGAACGAATTGCTAAAGAAATATTTAAAGGTGTAGGCATTCATGACAAGATCGAAACACTAGTTTTCTATCCAGCCTTGAGAGATAGTGGAACGGAGGCAGGAAATAATTATGTTGCGCAAAGCTTGTCAGACCATGAAAATGTTAGATCTACGTTGTATGAGCTGAACGTTCTGATTGAGGACGAGGGGGTTGGCTCACAGATGTTTAAGAATTTCTTCAATAAAATGATGACGGTTTGCGTACCCTTTTTTTTTTTTTTTCTTACTATTAGTTATATACACATACATATTAATCTCTAAATTTGAAAATTAGGAATTTATTGAGCATTCTGAAGTGGAAGAAAAAGAAATTTTCAAATTTTGCCGAAAGATATTTGATGACAAAAAAATCGAAAAACTTGGTAGAGAATTAGACGCAATGCGTAAGACAGGTGAGCATTGTTCGGATTAGTAATTTTTTTTTGATTATAATAAGTAGCGCATTCACCTAATATTAATTTTTGACTAGCGCTAAGTGCTACGGAAAAAGAAATGGCGGAAGAAATAGAAATAGAGGAGGTGGAAGAAACAGGAGACATAGAAGAGATGGATTCTATAGAAAAAACAGTTGTTTAATAGTGAAAACAATATAAATCTCAATTTTTGACTTTTTTCTTGCGATATAGTCTATATTTAAGGATTTATATTATAAATTCAGTTTATGTATTTACACTTGACGTTAAACATTTGATATTTAGCAATCTTGCAAGTATTCGTGGCACATGAATAAATTTTATGAAAAGTGTAGTTAACATAATTGTGTGAAAGCCGTAAAGGCACGTATGTACCTAATTGTTTTAAAGTTAATCACAATTGTAGAATTTTTTTATTACATGTACCGTACGTGCTTGCTTGCGTAATGATAATGTGTGAAAAAATTCGTAATGATAAAATTTTGATCTTTATTATTTTTCTCAATAAATTGTAAAAACTTGATCATATGATTCTTCACCGCGGATATGGTTATAAAATGAATTAAAAAATACAATTTCATATCTATGTTTCACTCAGAAGCAACAGACTTCTTTAAATCTGCTAACATTCTTTTACGCCATTGATCATAACATTGTGTAGAAGATTTTCCGTTAACATCTTCAGCAATTTCTTTCCAGTCCAACGGTGTAGGCAGTCTTTTGATAATTGCTTCGAATAATTGAGCTCTTTGATTGGTGGTCCATGCTATTTAGATAGTTAAGAATTAGAAAATTATAGTTTTTGATGACTTTTTTGTTAAAGGAGAATTCGAATCAATTACCAGATTTATTGGGTTTCTTCTTTGTTTCTGAATTGCTAGTGTCTGCATCACTCATTAAATCTGACATTATTGATGTTTGAATATTCGTAGATTCACCAGCATTTGTCTCCTCACTCTTCACTCCTAATGGTTTCTCTGGTATTCGACGACGTTTTACAACTTTGTTCATCTTTCTAAAATTTAAAATGATATTTGATATTAACTTATCATGCGTACTTGACGTATCAACTTTTCTTTTTACCAACCTTTTCTTCGCTCAAATTTAGTAGATAGGAATTGTCGATAGAATCGATAAGAGGGTGGACTTAAAGGAAAGAAATTGAAGAATAGACATTTTAAGGATTCCGTTAATCATGTAGTCTAAATTGAATTCTTTCATAGCGTTCTAAAAGTAGAAATCGGATGATGCTTATTTGATTAATAAAATTCTATCATCCTTCACATCATTTTTAATATATCAAAGAATGGAAAGTCTTTTATCGTGGTTGTTTTTAAATCAAACGTTTTACATAAAGCATGTTACAGTAGTACTATTAGAGATTGGAATTTGTCGATGATTTTGACTTTTCGCATTTCGTGTTTTAAAACCTTTTTTTTATATAACTTCCTTTTCATTTAAATCGATAATATAACAATAAAAGTGTGTTAAACCCTCCGGTCACAATTTGAAATATTTAACATTCATTCTGACAAAAGAATTTCAGATCCAAAAGATTACTAATGTGGAGCTGTTATCAAGTCATATATTCAAAATTTGCTAATTCTTAAAAATATAAGTGAAAATCAAACTTCGGGCTTTCATGATTTATTATTTACCGGACTCAGCCCTGACCGCGACATACATTATTCGTAATTAAATTTACTTACGCATCATATATGTCCCGGATCAGGATTGAGTTCGGTAAATAATAAAATAAACTTGAAAGCTCAAAGGCTGGTTTTCTCCTCGCGTAATTTATATTGCTAATGACATGAACTACGTAATAATAATATCCTGATCCGTTGGGAATTAGAGGAAACTTCGTTTCCGCTTATTCACATACGGTCAGGGTATTATTAATTAATCTTCCCGTGATCTTAATATAGTGATCGGGGGATTATATAACTATATAAACTAATTTTTTAACCTATTATTTACTACTATATACTCTACATGATTATATTAACATATATGTTGTACTGTACCCCAAATTAACACTTGCGTTAGGTGTCACTTTGGCCTGAGTTAGGGTGGCATCGATTTAGGCTAATCAGCTAATCCTGGTCAAATGTTAACATAACTGTCATGGGGTGATTTTAACATAAATTTTATGAACGAATACAGGGGAAAATGGGTTAAGGCAACTCACCAGAGGCGTAACTACGAATTTGACAGGGCGTAGTATCGATTTTACTGTCACGGGATGATCGGAAACAAATGTTGTTGGGCTAAAAAAAACTTCATTTATTATTTGGGTTAAAGTTTAAACCAAGGTTAAGAAAAATATTATTAGCAAAATTGCACAAGGAAATTTTTTTGTTAGAACTCTAAAGATGGTTTACTAGACTAAATTTTGAGATAAATGTGATAAATGTGATTTTTGCAAAGCGAACGTTGTTTAGAAATTTTTTACGTTACACCTGATCCTGATTTTTAATTGGCTAATAGACGTCGGAAAATCATGTGGCAGTAAAATCGATCCTATGCCCTGGCGTTGTCGCTTAATTACGGTGATTTGGTCAAAGATATCATGATAAAAGGGGAAATTATCATGGATTAATATTCTTTTGTGCCCCTTCCTCGCACATGTGTCGTAACCAGGGTTGTAAAATTACCGTAATTTACGGTAAGTTAGACCGGGGTAAAATCGCCACCCAAAAAAGTTTCGAAAATCATGTGATATTATCAATTCATCATGATTATGCGTAATA